ATCACAACAGACAGCCAGTGCTTTCGCTACTCGACTCTAACACCTGCTCTCAGAGAGCACTCTTCAACAAACCGACATATGCGAGCAGTGGAACCACATTTCCCGCTCATTAAGTACCGCCGCCGAAGAAGTAGTCGGATTTCAGCGAACCCGAAAGAACAACTGGTACGATCAGGAGTGTCAGGAAGCTGCAGAGAAAAAAGATGCCGCCTACAGGGCCACGCTGCGATCGGGCGCAACGCGTGCTTTGTGGGACCGCTATAGGGATCTGAAAAGGGAAGCGAGACGTATTTGCCGCAATAAGAGAGAGGCCGAAATACGTGAGTGCGAAGAGCTTGAAATGCGAGCCGACAGGAAGAATGCTCGAAAATTTTACCAGAGAGTTAGGCGACTTACGGAAGGTTTCAAGACCAGGGCGTACTCCTGTAATAACAACAATGGCGACCTAGTAACCGATGTCTAGAGCGTACCCAAATTATGGACGGAACACTTTTCGGCCCTACTAAATGGTAGTAGCACGGAAAGTTGTGGAGAAGAAGAACCCGAGCCCGCAGTCGATGATGACGGAGTCGACGCTCCACCGCCTGACTATGACGAGGTACGAATAGCAATAACGCGGCTGAAGAACAACAAAGCTGCTGTAGCTGACAGCCTGCCAGCTGAGCTATTCAAGTACGGCGGCGAGGAGTTGATAAGGTGCATGCATCAATTCTTGTGCAGAATATGGTCAGATGAACGCATGCCCGACGACTGTAATTTAAGTGTGCTCTGCCCAATCCACAAGAAAGGTACTTAAGCATAGATTACAAGGTCTTATCGAGCGTATTATGTGAAAGACTGAAGCCCACCGTCAATGAACTGATTGGGCCTTATCAGTGTGGCTTTAGACCTGGCAAATCCACCATAGACCAGGTATTCACAATACGCCAAATTTGGAAAAGATCCGCGAGAAAAGGATCGACACTCACCACCTATTTGTCGACTTTAAAGCCGCTTTTGACAGCACTAAAAGGAGTTCCCTATAAGAGCTGCAGAACTGAACCGCTCAGGAACAATTTACTACAAGAGCGTGGAAGTGCTGGCTTATGCCGATGACATCGACATCATCGGTAACAAAAACCGCGAAGTCTGTTCTGCCTTTTCCAAGTTGGATAAGGAAGCAAAGCGAATGGGTCTGGTGGTAAACGAGGACAAGACGAAGTATCGAAGGATATGGACATAGTGCAGTGAATTAAAATACAGCGGTTCCGCTGGCTTGGTCATGTCGTTCGAATGGACACCGACGCTCCAGCTCTGAAAGTATTCAACTCGGAACCCGCTGGTGGTAGCAGAGGAAGAGGGAGGCCCCCACTGCGATGGAAAGATCATGTGGAGAAGGACTTGGCTTCACTTGGCGTTTCCAATTGGCGTTAGTTGGCACAGAGGAGAAACGACTGGCGTGCTTTGCTGAACTCGGCCAAAATCGCTTAGGCGGTTACAGCGCCAAAAAAGAAGAAGAAGAAGTAATCGTAATCTAAGTTTGTTCGATGAAGGATTACTGTAATCGTAACCTTGTGTTTTTAGCTTTTTAGGATTACTGCAATCCTAATCGTTTAGTAACCGTAATCCTTATCGCCCAGCTCTGTAGCAATATAGTGAGGCACATAAAGATAAGGTCAGCCACATATTGATAAGTTTTTACTTATATATAAAAATATAGTTCATTCTATAACAAAATACATGTAAATCCAAATAAGAAACTTAAAATAAAAAAAAAAAATGTCACACTTTATTGAGAATTTTTTGCTATGCAGTTTTATAATGATAATAAATATTATTTTGCCGCTTACATTTTTGCTAAGCTTTTGGCCGAGTATCTCCTCCAATTTTTGGTGTGTGTGTTGATGTTGTTACACAAGTGGAACAGCAAATTGTGAGAAGCTTTTTCATGGCAGAAGCAAACTTTTTCTTTCTGGATGTTGCTCTGCACAGGGAACTACCTACCGAGTGAAAGTTCACACAAATGCTCGCATTTGTATATGGCCCAAAACGCGGATTGTGGATTACATTTTGGCTCACACTGCTTTTTAAATACTGCTGAAACTCGCGAGAATACAATTTTCGGATAGTTTTTCTTCTTGCATCTGAAAGCATAATTCAATATATACAAAAAATATATTGTAGCTGCTCTTGTTTAGGAGTTATGAATGTTTCAACAGCGGACTGTTGCATTACAATTTTTGGAAGTACTTTTTAAAGTTGCTTTATATTATTGAAAAAGTCTGCTCTCCTAATACAATGTTTTCAAAAGTTGGTACACAGTTTCCTAGCTTAAGGATGGAACTCAAGAACTACGTATTCATTAGGAATGTTAATTCCCAGGATCCCGGTCTTTTTAAGGTCCCCAAAATCTCGGGATTTCTGGCACATAATCCCGGGATTTTCCGGATTTGTAATTTGCACTGATGGCAATAATAGAAACTCCTTTTCTTGACCAGTATTGGCTATATTTCTTTTTTTATTTAATATTTAATATTTTTTTATGAATGTCTAGCTCATTATACATATATATAACACCGCGCGGTAGTAAATTTTTAACACAAATAGTATAGTAAAATCGCGTTTTTAGTTTTTCACTCTGACGTCAGTGATTCACAATTGATCTAAAAATTCAGAGAAATGTGCTTACAGAAAAGGTAGAATCAATTCAAGTTTTTGGTGCGGAAGGACTGGTAAGTATTGAAAATGTCCTTTTAAAAATTTGATCCTTGAAATTTCGCAATATTTGTTTTTGAAAAAATTATATGTTAAGGACTTATATAAACTTGATAACAGCCTCGAATTTCGTCCCTCTCACTTTACCAGCTTAAAAAATTACCTATTCGTTGTTGTGAATGCAAAAAAAAATTTTTTTTTTTTAATCCTAAAAAATTTCCTCTTGCATTTGGTACCCATATTTTTATTCCACATTGCATTGAATTTTTTAAATAATTTTTGGAATTAATCATATCTTTGAAATTAAAAAGTCCTTTAAAATAAATCCTGACGTCAGAGAGAAAAAATAACAACGCTATTTTAAGTAAAAAAATAGGTTTCAAACCTATCTATTTATTATTTATTTTATGGTAGGAGAGCTTCTCAAACAATATACAAGCAATTTTTTCGATGTAAGTCGTTGAAAAGTAATGAATATCCCAAACCCAAGACTAATCCCGGGATCCCGGGATTGTGATAACGACATCCCGAAACTCCCGGGATCGGAAAATGCTGAAAAATTAACATCGCTAGTATTCATTGAACTGATAAAATTAATTTTGAGGTCAATATTTGTAAAAAATAGTCGGACTGGCACGTTACAGAAAAAGACTGTTACATTACCTGTGCGATATACGAGTAGCGATAAGATTATAATTAGGTTTTTAAATAGCTTTTAGTGTATTTTATGCAATAAGTAGCATGAATTCAGTAGTCTTGTGATGTGACATGTAATTCAAAGAAATTAAGAACATGATAATTATGAATACAGATTTCAAAGTTTCTGAGCTGTAGGTCGTTTCCGAAGTAATTTTCTGCGTAGAACTCGAGCTCGAACTTAGAACTGCGCCAAGATGTTGAGGTTTTTCGCGGTTAAGTTCACGAAAAACGGCTTTAATGGATACTATTCTTACCCTTCAAATGTTAGATTCAAGTACACGGCATTTTGAAGAATAATAATAGTACTAGAAAAATAGGTGAAATAATTCCAATAGATGTTTATTATTCAATCGGAAAATCTTCTTCTTCTTTTAGCTTCTTATTTCGCTTCTTATTTAGCTCGTTCCTTTTTAAAATAATATAATTCTCGCGATTTTTATTTTTCTACGTAACTCTTATCTTCTGAGTTTATATAAGTTAGAAAAAGTAAAAAGTTTAACTATGGCACAATAACACGTTTAATAGCTTCCAATGTTGCTTGAAAAATGAGCCCCATCTTTAACTAAATAAGAAAAAAATGTTACCTGAAAGTTCAATTAGTAAAAAAGACTGTTACGTTACAAAAACTTTTTAATATTTTCGACTGTTACATTACATTAAAAAATACAGCCGACTTAATAACTTCAAAATAATGCAAGAAAAGCATAAAGAAGCAAGTATACTGCCAAAAAATGGTGGTCCTTAAATATAAACTACCCTTTAGTTTCATGTTGTGCGTTTTTCATTTTCATTTATTTAAAGGTGTCTCAAGATTAAGTGAATTTTCATGTTTGAGAGAAGGAGATTCGTGTTAATATTGATGTTGTCCGATACCTTAGAATATGTATGACCCAGATATAATCCAAAATCTGCAAAACCTCAGAAAAAAATGTTCCAGCGATTTGGGCCATATGTAGAAAAAATCTGCGGTAGCTTTCAGCCTCATTAAATTTGCACTTAATCGTATTAAAATTGAATGGGCTATAAAACTTCATACCCTAAAATTTCCTAAAAAATCTGAATAAAATTTAATGAATTTTAAAAATTTTACACAAATTTTGAAACTTGTATACATATGTTTCTTGTTAAAGAATGGACTATTGAGGGATTCACAACGGTGTCGTGTTGTTGTATGTCGTAAACTTTAAAAGCTTAAATAAATGTTTAGAGAACTTGACTTGACAACCAACTATTTTTTAATACTACAACAATTCCTAATATGACTTTGATGGTACTTTGCGAACCCCCTTAATATATATTTTAGGCGTTTAAAGTTAACGACATACAATAATACGACACTTACGACACCGTTGAGAATACCCTATATGTATATTGGCCGAGCAGAGACTCAACCCCATTCCCGTTTCTCTTTACCGGACTAGGTTGAAAACTTGAGTAGAGTTGATTTGATTTGATATCTATAAGAGTTTTATTGTTTATTATCGCATTATTGTCGCATTACTCTTGGCATATTCACATGTTCATACATATGTACATCAATAAAGATTAACTGCAAATACATAAAGTTTCGAGATACATAGTTGCTAATATTGTGTGCTACATTTCAGCTGTTAGTTATTCCTGTGCCGGCGTGTCAACCTATTCACACTACGGGCCCGCTAAATTGGAGAGAAAGGCCTTGAATGGATTCGTAGTGCAATATGAAATCGATAACAATAATCCTTCTTATAGTGCCACTCATCAGTGCCGAACTTTTTCCGTTATCTATAATTCACATCAATGATTTTCACGCAAGGTAATTAAAAAAAAATATCCTTGTAGATATGTGTACATAAGTGTTAAAAACGGAAGGGGAAGAGCTAATTGTAGGTATGTATATATAGCATTTTCAGTTTAAATGAAACCATTTTCAAATTAAGTGAAACCTTTTTCAAATAAAATGAGGGTAAGTGAAACATTTTCAAATTAAATGAAACATTCTTAAATTAAGTAATAAACATTATTGAGTTTAGGAACAGGAAATCAACTTAACCAATTAAGAGCCATTTGCACCATGTCTAGCTAACACTTACCCCTAATTATACATCGTTATCGACGCCATGCTTATAACAGGTAGTCGATAATGCCGATTATGATGTTTAGCTCGGAAAAATTGTTAATCGGACTTGATGCAAGCGACTCTAAGTCATAGTTTATAAAATTAATGGAGAGCGTGTCCATTCGCCGCTTTCGGAATTTGGATGATCACGTCCATAACATAGTTCGCACAGTCATTTTCACTAATTCGTGCGTTACTTTCTTCAATTACTTAAAAACATCGGGCATGGCATTTTACCTTCGAAAATGCCTTTTCTATGGGGTTTAACATAGGAGCGTATGCTGGCAAAAATTTCGGTTAGCATCCATTATTATCCACCGTATTTCTTATTTCTTTGGATTTATACATTCTGGCATTATCCTCGAGCTCCCTTATAAATTTCATTCTGGCTACGCCCATGGGAAAACTTGCAAGTAAGGGCGCTCCCCCAACCGGGCTACGCCCATGATCAGAGTTACAAAATTCATTTTTAGTTAAAGATAATGCCAGAATTCATAAATCCCAAGAAATAAGAGATATGGTGGATAATAACGGATGCTTATCGAAATTTTGCCAGCATACTCTCTTTTGTTGAAAACCATAGAAAAGGCATTTTCGAAGGTAAAATTCCATGCGCGAACAACTTAATAGTTTCGAGTCTACCACCCCTCCCACACCCTTTAATTTCATTCTGGCTGCGCCCATGGCTCTGATCTACATTCAATTTTATTTAATAGCTCCTTAATAAATACTTGGAAACGGGTCGAATTCATAATAGTATGAGAAACAAATTGTTGTTGAATATGAATAGGAAAAAATATATGTACAAACTTTGGCAGTTTAGAGTCCAAATATATAAATTGGAAAAAATCAAAGCAGATTTTTTACTGCTATAACTAATTCAATAAGCCTTGACCGTAAAGAAAGGCAACACGTAACAGCGATTCCACAGTAAACGAAAAAACGAAGTTTCATTTAATCTGAAAAAGGTTCCATTTAATTTGAAAAAGGTTTCGCTTCGTTTGAAAATGTTTCATTTAATTTGAGAAAAGTTTCATTTAAACTGAAAATGCTATAAGACATTTCGAATAGCGATCGCAGAAAGTCATAATTTTAACCAACTATCTACAGTTGCTTGAAAGTGATGAAACAAGAATGAACAGTGAGGGCCGAACGTGAGTTGAATACTGCAGTGTAGAATCGACCTTTAACATTTCGAATTTTTTTATTGTCTGCTGTAGTATAAACGTGGTTGTGTTATTAATTATTACTAGGGCAACCCAAAATATGCTCCTAAAAACTTATTTTAAGCGCTTAAAATATGCCAATAAATTCTAAATAAATGCTCCACAAAATGCTTTTAAAATCATTATAAGCCATAATATACTTATGATTTTAAATTTCGTTTATGTACGTAAGTGTATGCCCAAAAATGCCTTTAACTTTACTTGCAGCACCTAAAATGTTATAGATTTCATAAAAGTGTATATACATAAATATTTATGTTCAACTAGAGTGCCAATTACTGTCGAAATTCGACAGTTTTTCTAGTTTTTAGCAGCCTTGGAAGAGGTTTTCTAATTTAACACGTAGCAAAACCTATAAGGTACAAAGTAACTTACCGGAAAATCTTCTGCTTTGGAACTAAAACGTGAATACATTTTTTATATCTTTGAAGGTCTTTGGAGGACGTCAACAGGACTTGGAATTGACCCGATTCATTCCAGTTTATCGATAAATTTCAATGATTTGATACATATCGATAATTCGATGAATTTCAAAAACACTAAAATCCGATAACTCAACGAAATTCGATAACTCGACTAATTTCGATAACCGTGATATTCTAGGGCTCGATAAATTTCGATAACTCAACAATGTACATATATTCTTTGGATACCTTTATAAATTTTACTTTTGACAGCTCCACATTTTTCGAAAGCTATGGAACAATTTCGATGATTCGTTAAACTCTGTTAGCATGATAAGTTGAAAGAATTCCATGCATTACGATAACTCGATAAATTTCGTTAAGTCTATAAATAGTGATAATTAAAAAAATATCGATAACTTGATACATTTCTTTAACTTCCCTGCAGGGAGTGACGTTAGCTTATACCTAACTTTAGTCTGTTTACGCGAACACTAGTGCTAACTATTAACTGTGTATTTTGTTCGATAAAAGCTAACTACTTTTGTGGGGCGATGGCCGCAAAAAAGTCAGACCTGGATACCTCTGCATTACATGTCAACTAACTTGTAACTAACTACTTTTGGACATAAAATATCAATAAGAAAAACAAAATATTTTTATTTACTTATTTATTTACTTTATTTTATTACATTTCATATTTGTTTACATATTCTGCTCTGGGTGGCCCCATATTCGAACACCGTCAGACATAACTTCAAAATGATAGTATAAAATTTCGATCTTCCTTTTATTTGTCCTGAATATGAAAAAAATCTGCGAAGTTCAGAAAAAAAGTGTATTGAAAGTAATTTTTGTATGAGGATATTTAATAGAAACCTGTAAAGAAAACCAACTCCCGATTGCGTCTGCATGACTCCTGCACGACTTTACAATTCACTTTAAGTTGGTTTTGTCATAGCTAATTAAAAGTGAGGTATAATCTAAATCTCGCCAAAAAGCTAACTATAAGTTGGTTAGTTTTAACAATTGATAATTTTTCACTGCAGGGTTAACAAATTTCGATAATCCCACGCATTTGTATAGCTCGATAACTATATCAATTTCAATAACTAAGCTTCTGTGTCTATAAATTTCGACAACTCAATAAACATTGATCAATTTGAATAATTCGATACGTTGCGATAACTTAATTAGCATGGATAAATTTCGTCAATTATAAACTTCGATGATTCGATAAATTTCAGTAACTTTTATGGCTGATTTTATTTCGATTCCTATCGAAAAATTTCAATTCAGTTATCCTAATTCTTATGTATTTCTCATTGTCTCCATTTTCGTTTTTATCTTCACTTTTGCCTTTTCTTTTTTGTCTTCATCGTTATCATTTTTTCTTCATCTTTATCTTTATTTCAAAGTTTAATTTAAAACACGAAGTGAATCAAAATGCGAAAACACCTCAAATTGAAAAGGTCGCAAAAACAACTTTACACAAATACGGAGATTTTTAAACCACGATTTGGCCGTAATTTCCAACCAATCGGTTCAGTAGAATCGCCAAACGAACGGAGACAAAATTTATGTTAGCGTATTAATATGTGGATAATTCCTATTTATTCAATTTGTTTTTAAAACATATGTATGAAAGTACATGGCATCTAATTCACAAATAGTTTCACATAGGAATTCATACTGTGTATGTTTCTACATAGATACATACATATGTACCCTGCAGCGGAAAGTACAAGTCGGGAGCTTGGGAGTCGAATACCGGTACCTCGCAAATCTACCACCCATGCTTTCTGCTGTCGCATTTAACATGAAGTTGTCCTAGGATGCGCCATGGCAGGTCAGTGGCGGGACAACTTTTATTATCTTTCTCACACATAAAAAAACTTTATATATACACGATGTGAACGTGCACTTTGTTACTATATTGTTATTATTTCAGAAATTTTTATTATTAGTTCTAAGGGTAACAACGCAACGCAAATAATCTGCTGCAAAATATGCTCAAATATGCATTTATTGCAAAATATGCTAAAATATGCTCTAAGAAACTTTATATTTTTTTAAGCATTTCATCATCGTGTTGCTAACATGCCTGACAAAAAAAATGCCCGAACATACTTTGGGTTGCCCTAATTATTGCTATCCTGATTTTTATGGTATCCAGAATTTCAATTGTTATTTAATTACGTATAAATTATGAAAACAATTATCTGGTTTTTGCATTTTCTTCCTTATGCCGAATTTCCACTAGGCATTGAAATGACAAAAAATTTATGCCATTTAAAAAAATGCCATGTGGAAATGAACTTAATGACTGTATTTTTATTGTAATAACATGATTATTTTTTAATGCCCGACTTTGTCATTTGTCATTTTTGCCATTTAATGCCTAGTGGAAATCCAGCATTAAGGAACCAAATTAGGGTTACTATCAAAAACAGTTGTAACATTTGCCGTACCAAAATTTTTTTTTTATAGTTTTGTTGGGCTGCGTTATCCAATAAAAAATTAGCAAAAACTCAGATTTCCGTTTTTTCTACAGAAATTTTTCCTTATGTGGTCTATAATACCCTTCGCTCCCCTATTTAGTTATTGTTTTGCAAAATAATTCAATGAATATACAGAATACAGAGAAGCGAACAAAGAATGCCTTACAGAGAAACTAATGTAGAATGCCTAGATAAGTACATACTTATTTATATTAAATTGAAAACAGAAAATACATATTGTCATAAAAGATTAAAATTAATTAAACTTTTTATAAATGAGTTTTTATACATACATATGTATGTATTTAAGTATTTAGATTTTACTAAAAACCCGGTACGTATGTAAAAACCGGTATTGTACTTCCTCACTATTTTACTTCACTTCATTGACTGACTTCAACTTCGCTGCAAATTGAACAAAGCAAAACATGATTTTTATGCGAGAAGAATTTCCATAGAAAGTAACGATAGAAAAAGAATTTTTGGATATCCTTTCTATTTTTCATCTGCATGCATGCATTCCCCGAAATGGAGCAAAGAAGCGAAAAAAAAATGAGGACATTCTA